ACCGTTTGGTTTAAAGCCTTCTCTTTCTTTACTGCATGCTGGATGCTTGGAGTTGTGTTTTTTGTTTGCCTTGCATATGCTCTTTAGGATTTAGACACACTGAAAAACCACTCGATTATTTGTGAACAGCCCATATGCTAGTTAAAAGAATGCCTTGAAACAGTGTGCATTAAGCCAAAGTCCTGAGTTTTGGCATGGAGATTGAGCATTGCACTGACACTGTTTTTTAATTTTGTCTTTGTAAATGTTTTAATTGTTCTGCCAACAAACAAAAAAAATCTGACGCTTGTACAAAAACTCAATCTTGAATATAAATCAATGGATGAGTCATCGCCTTGTTTGTATGACCACAAAAAGAACTTCACGAGTACAGATGTTTCTTTTCTTTTTTTTGTTTTCATAATTTAGAATTACCGTACATGTTTTCTGCTGCTCACCATTTACACGCCTTTTAAACTATCACCTGGTGGCATTAGGCTACAGCCCAAAGACCCCAAATATGGCAAGAAGGCTACAGAGTTTTTGCCTTAGCTGCACCCATTTGTTCATTCTTTGCATGTGGAGAGCCTTCGTCCCAGATTAAGAGAAATAACTGAGTTTTATTCACAGCTGGTATGCTGTGTCACCACCTCGAGAAGTCCCAGTGCGCTATTTGCTTCTGACATGGTTGCTGCATTCCTTTTAAAATTCAGAATCACATGATGACATTGCAGTATGTCAAAACACCTTTGGCATAAATGGATAACAAACAGATGTCCATTGCGTTGCCTCTCTGCAGCTTCACCTACAATTTACTAGCTCTGCCCGTGCACCTCTTACAGGAAAAGTGCCTTATTCAGTTAATATAGGTATATAGTTAAAGTTTGTAAGATGATATGCCACACCAAGTATCAATGTGACTCAGCACTTTCAGCCCCTTGCTTAGTGGATTTCTGTGTTGTATTCTGCTTAAATGTCTGTTTTGTCACACTCAGCCTTAACTTCTCCATCAAACTCACCAAGCGTTTGCTAGCGATAAGCTGTCCAGGCAATTGCCAGGCCATTTGTGTTTGTGGGAAATTTGTTTCCTGTACTTAATGGCTGTCATTTCAGCAGTTTTAAGGTGATAACATTTAGAACAATACCAGTTAAATTGTATTTGTTTTAATACTGCTGAAATGGCTTTAACCAGCTAGTAAATGTTGGGCTCTGTATACCAAGAAGAGGCCTGGTTGTAGCCAGGGAAGCTTCTCACCAGCCAATTGTATTAAAAACTACTTCCCAGTAATAATGTAACCACAGCCACAGACCTCTAGTGTTCTTAAAAGCAACATTTCCATCGTATTGTAAACACTCACTTTCTTTGTTACTTACAATTGTTGCATTGAATGACTTGGTTTTCTTTCCAGTAGGATTTTTCATGGAGGGCTCTCTGATCAATTTTTCGCCTTGCAGTGTATCATTTGAAGAGTAAAAAAGCGTTTTTCCATTCCCTCCTTTTTGCCTTGTGACTTTATTACTCTAGCACACAGTGGCTGCAGTGCCATTTAATTTACATTTTTGTTTTATAGAACATCAGTTTTGTAGGTACGATTCTGCATTTCGGCTCTCTCTCTCTCTCTCTCTCTCTCTCCCCCCCCCCACTTTGACACACGACTATTCGCACACAGCCATAAAGACACTTACAGGTGCCACAATGCCTCCTAAAATGTTTTGTGCTTCTTTTGTGCTCCCTAACTTTTTGCTCTCAAACTTTTATTTTGTGCCTTGTTTTCTAGTGTTGCCTTTAGTTTCACAATGTAAAACCAATAAAGTTTGAATATTGTTAAACAAATTGGTGTTGACTTTCTTGGAACATTAAACTTCAATGACAAATCTTGACTTAATATGAAATATATTTGTGTATTTTGAAGTAAAACCATACTTCAAGCTAGCTTCAATGTACAGATGTTAGTGTGGTGACATCATCATCTCCTCTTCCTTGTTGGTGCTGTGTATTTTGGAAGTCTTGTCAATGGCCCATTTCATCTAACCGCATGTATTAAGTGCTCCCTAAGATGTTTCTGTTCCTTATCTCTTCCCTCTGCCCTTGTAGGTAGGACTCATAGCCTGATGATGTAGGGTTCTGATGACACCTATCTTATGTTGTAGTGGAAGATAGAACTCAAAAAGTAAACACCAGGCTGAGTGGGTAGGTTTCCTGTAGACTCTTTGATGCACGCCCCACAGTCCAAGAAGGCCAAACTGTTTCCTCTGACATCCTCTCTTAGTGTCTTAGTAGTGTCATCCATATATTTAAACCAGTGGCAGGGGGGTAGCCAGTGTGTAGGTAGCTAGAGCCCTCTTATCTACCTCCTCCATGCAGAGATTGGCCTCTATAAGGGATACCTGTGAGCCCATGGCACAGACAGTTTCCGGGCTGTAGAAGCCTCAGTTATTCTGGTAGTAAGTCGTGTTTAAGCAGATAGAGAGTTGTCCTGTGGAGCGTTTTTGAATTGGCGTGTATGAGGCTTCTGGAGCTTAAGCAGCCAGCCTCAAGGGGACACATGAGAAACTGCTGAGTTTTGCACTTCTGCATTGGCTTTATACATTATGTGACTTATACAACTGTAAGCAAGGATTCCTGACACACACACACACACACACACAAACATTTGTTCCACTGTTTTAACAGTCAAACGTATCACTTGCTAAGATTATTTGCTGTGGAAAACAAAACCAAAGGGTGTAAATCCCCTTGGCTGACAACTACACCCCTGTGGCTGCTGTTACAGATACGCCTGGTCGATAAAACCATAATAATCGCGATATAATTTAGGCTATTGGGCTTTAAAACGACAACGACAATTATCGTGATATAACTTTTCTCAGCATTTTAAATCACTGTGCTAATGATTGTGATATGATGAAGTATAGTTTGTCATACTCTAAAAAATAAAGAATAATTACACCACAATTAGCCATCTGTTTTTTTTAAACTTTACCTCAGGAACCTCGTGAAAGAAATAATGATTTGACATTTATTGTGAAAATGTCCCTATCGACTGATATTCCATTTTTTTATCGTGATAACGTTTTTAGTCACATCGACCCAGCCCTAGTTAGAGATATTAAGAATAACTATATAGACACAATATAGAGGCATCGTTATTAATTTCAGTCTGTCATAACTAGTTGAAACTCCTCACAGGAGCTTTAAGTCTATATTGTCCTTGAAGACAATCTCAAATAAAACGGTGATGATTCATAAGGATAAAACTTGCAACATCCACCTGATCGGTGTAGTTAGTGAGAAAAGTAATGAGGTACAAAGCAAATGTTAAAAACAATAACAACACCAAGATTGTTTTCAGTCATATAACATTTTTAAACCTATTTGAGTCAATGACAGCCCAAACCAAAGACACCACATCTCTTATCAAAAACAGTCCCTTTGTTTTCCATGACACATGATCAGTGTCTAAGGTCACAGCGAGGTTCTGCCTATGCAGCAAAATCCCTTCTCTCCAAAGGAAATGTTCGTGTACACACTCAGGAACAACAGTTTGTACAGTTGACTACATTCTTGAATGAGGTGTGTGCGTACACTGTGTGTTTGTGTTGAGCAGACTGTTATTCTTTCAGTGGCTCAGCCCCCAGCTGGTACAGTTTCCAGGAACCAAGGAAGAGTTGTAGGAGAAAATGTGTTTTGGACAACTGCACCACAGTCTTGTCTGTCCCTTAAAAACAATCTGCAACCCTGCACTTGATGTGTGACTAGCCAGTGGTAGAAAAGAATGTCCAGTTCATATCAGACTATGTAACTTAACCCGTAAATGCACCTCTTTTTTTCAGTCTGAATTTTACACTTTAGACATCGTCTTATCCTCTTAAAATGATGGATGAGCAGTCGTTCATAGACAATATTTTAACAAACCCTTACCAATGCCTCATATCTCCCAAGCCCTCCTACATTCACAGCCCTCTAAACACAAACACTATTCACCAGTGGACAAACAGAGAGGTGTTTAGTCACAAGGTAACAGAGCTGCAGGGTCAGTAGTGCTAATAGGAGGAGATGTTGCATGTGGGCAAAGAAGGGTCTGGACTTCTTGCCTCAGCTAACCAGATTTCCATGTCCAGTCATGCCCTGTAATCTAATATGGAAGCACTGAGAGACAATGCATCAGGTTCAGTCTCTCTCGTATGACACATGCTCAGTCCATTTAACCACGTAGCAAACTCAGTCATGCCAAGAATACCAGGACCTAGCAATTTTGGCTGGATGAAGCTGAATGTAGAGAGCAAGAGAACAAAAACAATAGGCTGTTTTATTTTCCCATGACCCATTCTCTGTTGTATTTTTAGTTTTTAATTCAGCAGTTTCTGATGATGATGGTAGAGGGAGTGACCTGAGATTAGCTTTCAGGTTAAAAATATGCTTCTTGGTTATCAAAAATGGGAGCTGATAAGATAACAAAACCACTGCAGGCCCGAGAATGAGAAGATAATGGAGGAATGTTATGATGCAGCTTCACATATGTTTTATTCATCTCATAAAAAGGTGGCTGACTCAAGTTGACAGAGAGCAAATATAAAGGCCTCAGCCATGCCACAAAAATGTGTCCTGTCATCAGACCAGAAAAATAGATGAATGATAACTTTCTAAGTTCAATTTCAGGGATTTGACCTTTTTTTTGGGTCTCACTTGTGCACACTGCACAGGGAATTAAACCACATCCGTTTGTCATGTGGTCAAGCCTGCTTTTACTCAGCTGTCCGGCCAGCTGCTGGGACAGAGTTCCCAACGCGTTGCATTTCTATTAAAGACAACTCAAGACAGCAGGAGATTGATGCTGCATGCAAAATGACAAAGTTACGTCTTATTACTGCTATACATTCAATTCTGTCAGAGGTAGGAGTATTGGAAACGAAACAAAAGCTGAGCACTGCCACCTTGTGGTTCTAAGTGAGAAGTGAGGAGGGGGAAAAAAGTAATTGGAGAACACAGTTGTGTTTGCTGAAATAAAATGTGACCAAAATGCTTTTTAAATGTTTAATAATTAAAATAATAGACTACTTCAGCTTCACAGATAAAATCATGGTTCATAAACTACTCTGTGAAGGCCTGTGAATATGCAAAGTATTAATTTATCACCCATAAAAAAGTTTGATGAGTAACACATTATCAAGTCCTGTGTAAAACACCAAAAAAAAAAAAATCAATGATTCCCTATTTTTATTTCTTAATTGAAATGTCCCAGACACCATTTCAAGAAGAGGGGACAGCAGGCTGCGAGGAACCAAGGGGAGTCTTGTGGTTCAACCAGCTGTAGCATCAAAGCCAGCAGACAGAGCGGTCACTCTGAGAAGAGCCTCATGTTTCCCAGTACAGGTCATCTTGTTTGAGGCTGTTTCTGAACTTCTGGGTCTCTCTGAGGAGCTGCAGGTTGTTATGAGCCGTCCCACCTTTCTTTCCTTTCTGCTTTGCCTTTACTGGAGAAGGAGCGGGTGGTTTCATTCCACTCGACTTCCTGGTTGTTTGTTCTCCAGTGCAAGGTTGACTCTTGGTCAGCTTTTTGATCTGAGAAGGACACGAATCGTTAATTAGGTTTTTGAAAACACACCTTTTCACAGACATGCCGTGTGTCATACTAAATGATGCTGCACTCACTGTCTGCTGGTGTTTGCGGAGCTTGGTGATCTGAGCTCCCTTCTCCTCCATTCTTGCCGCCAACCTCTCTAGTTCTCCTTGCAGATCGTGCCTCTGCTTTTGATCTGTAGCTGCGTCTATCTGACCCGCTAACTCCTGATGCTCACTGAAAAAGACAAACAAAACAATCACACGCAAAAGAAAAATAGATGGCAAAGATTTTTTTAAAGTCAAAGAAACTATTTTACAAAACCTTACTCACAAGCTCATTTGTCCCAGCTCATCCTGCAGAGCCAGCAGCAGGTCTGACAGCGAGCCCAGCGGCTGATCTGCTTGTTGGGGCTTCCTGTCGGGCTTATGAGGAGTGTTGGCAGAGGATGGCTCAAAGTGTTTTTGGAGGCTTTTCTTGACTCCAGCACCAGACCTGTGCAGAGAGCTCACATGTTCACACAGCTGGGGCTGATGGTGCTTCATCATGTGAAGTATACTTTGCACGTTGGCGTGGACTGAATGGCTTGGGCTGGTTGACTGCAAATGATGTAGACGTAATCAAAATCAATCAAAGTTAATCAAAAAACTTCAACAAGAAAAAAAAAGTTACTACCTCATGTTTTTTTTTTTTATGGTTTTAGAATTATCAAAAAAAGGTCGTACAGTTCCTGCAACAAAGGGCATTTTTGGGTGCCTGCGGTGGCTTGGAGATGTCAGCTCGTTCTGCCCGGGGGTTTTCTGAGGTAGAAAACAGAAGTTAGTGCTTTTATGTGCAAACAAATATGTTCCTTGTCAACTAAATGCAAGCAGTTTATGGGCATTATTGAAAGGAAAAGTACCTTCATGGCCCTTTTTGTTTTCTTTGGATTTATTTCTTCAGACATTTGCAAAGACAGCCGAAGGTTTGTTTCCAACTCCTTCTGCAGCTGTGGACACAAAATGTGTAGCTTTGTAAGAGCCATAATAAAGCTCATTTATTTGAAACCACAGCCACTTGAAAACAACGAGAGGTCAAGATATAAAAATAACAGGGGTTTTTTTTGCATTTATCGTAAAACATGTGAATGTCGGAGTACAGAGAATTAGAAATATAAAAACTGATTCTGGCTTCCCCAATACTTTGTGTAAGTGTGTGTCTCTGTTACTTCTGTATGAGTGTGTAGACAGACCTCGTCGGCTTTCACTTGCACAAGTTTACGCTCATGCTCTTCCTTCAGCAGTTTCTGCTCCAGAATGGAAAGTTTCATCTGAAATCAACATTGTAATGAAATAAATATATTATTGTCAGTCAGCTTGTGATGATCAGTGATATGACCAATACGTTGCCATGAATTACCTCTGCCAGGGTTTGGGTTCTACTCAATTTGAGACACTCTGATTCAAGTTTTGCCAGCTTCTCCTGCTGAGATTGGTTGTTTGAGCTGCTTGGCTGCTGGTTCTGTAGAGTAGCCTAGAAGAGAAGTGAACACAGATTTGTAGCTGATTAGTAACAAGCACTGATTTATTATGCACTAATATTTATACCAGTTAAAGCATAACTTTATAGTATATATTTATTTATCAATAAATGCTCAAATGTAACTGAACCCCTGATGACAAAACTGGTAAGAATATAAAGAGTTCACTCAGTGGTATACATTTTTTCAATGCCATACAACAAATTCTCTATCAAATATTGTGCTTATAGTTTCAGGGTCTACCCTTAAAGAAACATTTGGTTACGGATTATTGTGTTAAGTTTCTAGTCCTTTGGAGTACCTGATTTTGCTTGAGGACATTCCTCTCCCTCTTAGCATGTTCCACCATCCTTCTCATGTAGTCCAGCTGCTTTTCCAGAACCTTACAGCGAGCCTCCGCAGACTGCAGCTTTGAGTCAATCTCTGTTATCGCAATCAATGGAAAAGAGTTTTCATTATATCTAAGAAATAGTAGTTATCTTTTCGTTTTTACCCTCCATCACTTACCTTTCCTACTAGAATTATCCGTGTCAGGCTGGCTGGCTGCTGGCTGACTGAGCACCGTGCGTGATGTCGTGGCCTGCTGATGTTTTTGAGCATCAAGGGAAAACTCCTGGTAGCTCTTCTCTGCTTGTATCCTTTCCTGCTCCAACCACCTGATTTTCTCCTGAAGGGTCTTCAGTGCTTCAACAACAGCTGATGGTGTATTCATAATGAGGTAAGATGACGAAATGTGAGGTGATAACAAAAAAAAACATTAATGAGGAAAAAAGCTTAACATAATCAATATGCCTTTACCTTTGCTGTCGACATTATGTCTGGCCGGAGACATGCGAGGGCTGATGGATGAATGTGAAGTGAGCTCCACCTGTCTTGGTTTTGGTAGTATGCAGTCTGGAGGCTGGTAATAGCTCCCGATGTAACTGTTTTTGGATGGTGAGTCTAAAATCTGAAGAAAAAAAGGAAGGAGGAGATCTCGTTACACACTGTACTTTTTTTTTTTATTAAATAATATTTAAATATTGTCAAAAATAAAAACAAAATGAAAAGCACGAAAACACAATAAACAAAAAACATGTTCAAATTATTTCACAAAAAAGAAAAAAAAAGAAAATTACATATATTCAATTGATATGCCTGAAAAGGAGTAGGAAGAAGTATAAAACTTATTTAATCCTACTCCTTTTCCACAGCTCAACAATTAATATTTATTAAATTAAATTCCTGTGTTCCTTATAATCTCTCCATATATACAATCTATCCATATACAATTTGCTATACTATATTTATGACACTATATTTCATATTTACAATCCAATGATTTTCCATACATATATACAACTTGATATACTACGATTTTTTAAATAATTTATACAATCCATATATCTATATACACATATCTATTTGTACAATTTGATGCACTATATTTACATTTTATATATTTATATAATCCTTATATCTATACAGTTTGTTACAGTATGTTTACAATTATACATTTTATATATATTAATACAAAGCAACTGCTTTAAATAAACCATTAATCATTGCGATTACAAAATCATATTTTTTTGTTGGACTATCAGTCAAATAATAATAATAATAATAATAATAATAATAATGTGGCAAATAAACGTGTAGCTTTATGAGACTTTACAATAAATGACGAACCAAGTCCTGCTAACCAGCCCAATAAACATGTACAGTTTTGTTCTGTACCTTAGCATCTTCAAACATCGACACATGTCGTCAAGATAGAAACACTTATGTAAATAATTGGTGAACCTTTACTTCAGATCACCAGCAGCAACGACTACTTAACGAAAGTAAACAACGCTGAAGCTAACAGGTTAGCCACTTTCTCTGCTAACGCTTTACGAGTCAACGTTACCTGGTCGAGATGAGTTTCCATTCTGTCACATAGATGACTCCTTTTGAAACGAATCATGTGTATGTATAGAAACTGTCAGACTGCCTTTACTAGTTTTCAATTACTTGTTTGTATCCAAATGATTAATGGAAACTGACTTCTTCGTTCCTTGTTGTCGCCAATAAGCAGTCCGGACTTTTTAAATTTCCCTCCTCTTTGTCGCCCTCGTCGCTGTGGTTCCGCCTGCGCAGTGTTTCCTCCTCCAGCTCTCCACTGTACACTGCTGCACAGTTACTGTTCAAAGTAGTTACAAATAAAGGTCAGATGATCCAAGTCACGTAGAAAACACCCGACACTATTCAGATGAAGGGATATAGCCTAGTTAAATTGATTAAATTAGTGTTTTTTATACAATATTTTGTAACTATTCTCCTCTTCACAAACAGTGATCTTAAAATAACCCACTTCACATGGGCCTGATAGAAAAACAGTCTAAATGTTTAAATGTTGAAAATGAATCGTATGCACATCACATAGCCTATTTAAAGGCATTATTTACACATGGCTATTGGTAAGCTTGCTACTACTTGGATAAGGAATTTTTATCTACTATAGGCCTAGACAGCCTCGACCAGGGGTTCCCAAACTTTTCAGGTCGTGACCCCCAAAATAAGGGTGACAGAAACTGGGGACCCACCACTGTTCTTTAAGGTGGTTAGTTAGGTATATAAGGTAGCGACAGCCACGCACACACTAATAAACCTATCCAAAAACTATAGGAACACAAAATAATACAAAAAATAATAATAATTTCACATGTCTTATATGACATTGGACTACTTTTTGTATATTTACAAAAATGGGTAAAAATATATACTTATGCACTTTTAAATGATGTTTTATTTTTTATGGAAGGTATCTCGTGACCCCCCTCTTGGTGGCTGGCGACCCCCCCTTTGGGAACCACTGGCCTAAACTATAGACTACTTTTATAGCCTAAGGGAATCTTTTTAAAGTTGCAAAGCTTCCGACAGTAGGCTATTTTTTGCTTGGTTAGGTTAAAATGACTAACCTATAAGGCTAACAAATATAGAATTTGATAGTCTCCTCACATGTTGCTTTTTCTTTAATTACACCGTCACCGCCAAATACACAGCCATATGCTTAGTGTCCTTTGCAGCAGCTATGTGTTTGCTTTATTCATTTGAGATGAGATGAGATTCAACTTTATTATCATTACACATATACAAGTATAGAGTAACGAAATGAGATTTGACATCTCACCAGAAGTGCAATAAGCAGAACGTGCAAGAATCTGTGCTATGTACAGTAATTACAAAATTTACAGATGTAGACTTAAATAAAGTGAATTATTGGGTATATATGGCTGGATTAATGGGATGCTATAAATATAAATAAATGCTATAAATATAAATATATTCTTCAGATTATAATATACAGATTAAGGTGCAGTGAGCATACTATACTAGATTACAGATAATACACAGAATATGGACAAGATCATGGTTGGCAGTATCAGGAGACGGATGCATCATATAACATGGGGAGTTGTCATGTTTCACACAAAAAAAAAAGTGTCAAACCTTTTTACATCAATATTTTCTGTTAGGGAAGTGTCTAGCTAGAGAACCAGTCAATCACACTGCAGACATCCACACATCAGCATCTAAATAATCTGCTGCAGCATAAGAAAACAGATTTGTAGTGTGGCTGTTGTGCTGCGTTATACATTTTCTCCAAATGGATATAGCAGGCTATTGGTGTTATTTCCTTTGTAGACAACTGCATCTTATGTAGGGTTACCTTTTTTTTTCATTTTGTTACACATTTGTCCCTGAAACAAAGCAAACATTGCATTGCACCCATTGCAAATCAAAATGTTTTCATATGTCAGAAAGTGTTGCCAGTTATAGGCCTATTTGTGTTAAACTGCTGTACAAAACACGCTGATCGATGTTTATTATGACTGTAAATGAAGTTGAAACTAACTTAAATAGAAAACAATGAAAAGGAAATAAACAACATATTTCTCTTTCTCCTCTTTCTCTCTTCTCTCACTGCTATTTCTGATAAACAACAGAGAGGAGGGGGGTCTGCTTTCCAAATGTATGCTGGGATATGTATTTCTGAAGGACTACCATCCATAACAAACACCGACCGATAGAACTCAAGTCCCATAAATCCTTCCCCTGTAAGCTTGGCAACTGGCCTCTGACCAACCATTGAACCGGAATCCACAAAATCCCGCCCTCGAATGTCCGTACATTCTTCTTATTGGTCGGAATTTTCTGCCAATCAAATGTTTCCCCTGAAGTTGTTGCCTCCTACCTTGTGCCCTGGGACTAACGTTACTGGTCAGTGCTGTGGCAAGACGTCCCGTAACACAAGACCTGCACCAAAGAATGTGGATAAAGTGAGTATTTGAAAATGACACTGTCTGTTTTTGGTGCACAATGAAATGTCGGTGTGTAGGAATGTTTATTTTGTTGCGTTTGTGATCTACTGCACCGGTGTCTTTGTTAAAAGGACAGCTTGAAAGCATGACACGAAAGAAAAAGCAGCCAGTGATTGAATGGACCCCACCAACATTAACTTACAAGTTGCGTATTTGGACATTTCAAATCACAATATGTCATTTACCGTTCACCAAGGACAGTTCATTATTGTTCGTAGATGTCAATAACACTCCACTGCCAGATTATGATGCCTTGAAACTAACATCAGTAAACAATCTGTAAGCTGCGTTAACTGGGCTTTTTTTTTCTTTTCTTGGATAGTAAATCAGTAGGACAATGTGGTTATTTCTAAATAGCTGCTAAATTGGTGTGACATTCCCAGCAAGATCTCAGTTTATCTGCCAGTGTCCGATTGATGGTGGCTTTATGAGGCCAGTAGCCTCAAGCCTATGTAGTTACTTTAGAGTACAAAGAAAATCACATTATCTGCTATCTATCGACTTTGTCTATTTTGTAATAGACTTCTTTGAGGCAATATTAAGTTTTCCATTATCAATGCATTTTGATTTTTTCCGTTTTGTTATTTATTTTGTTGGATATTTCAGAAACGGACATTCCTGCCATCTTATTTACCCGTAAACAAATTCTCATGTGGTTTTCGTGAACATTTACCAAGTCGCAATAAAAACTGATGTAAAAACATACATTTTGCGAGAGGATCTGTCATGTGATTCAGCCCCTTTAACGATTGAACATTTTACTGTGGAAAGATGAACTTGTAATTCCTCCCTAGTCATTTTTTAATGCTATTTTAAACACCATGTAGGCTACTGGTTTGACACAAGTACCAAATGATACTGATATTTCTGTCTGATGTCATTTTTTATATTCAGTGGTTTCAACCATTTATTAGTTGGGCTTCCTTAGAAATCCTGACACTGGCTTAAAGTTACAAGCCGATCCATAGTGCCCGATTAGAATAACACTGATAAAGATAATTATTTGACGTCAACATGGACTCTTTTGTGGCTTATTGTCTTGTAGCCTGTTGTAAAACAACACAAACACTAGTCCCACGTCATAAGATGGAAGTGCAGGACCAGGAATCTTTGGGGAGGTGGGATGGGCTGGGCAGCAGGGATGCCAGCTCCAGGAATGAAGCCATGGAGAACATCTGCCAGGAGATCATGAGGAAAGTGGAGGACATCAAGCCCATACCACCTGCCCTGTCACCCTCGGCCACAGGAACACCCCCCAACTGCGACCTGAATGACATCCTGGCTCACCTTCTCATGCTCTCCAAACGGTGTCCCTTTGAAGACGTCAAGGGGCAATGCATTCGGCTTCTACAGGCTGTCCAGGTAGGAGACTATTTTAATGAGAACCCAGAGTGAGTTTTTTTCTAGCAGTAAGCTGCATCAGGCTGCCATATCTCTTCTCTGTTGCGTGTTTTGTTCTGCTGCCATCCGCTCCTCTCTTCACCTCTTCATATGCGTCGCAAACAATGTGGTTGAGTCACAACGTCAGCAGACCCAATGCAATGTTTCGTCAAGTGGATTACATTCAGTTAGCGCGATGAGACACCATGAACTCATTAACGCTTAAACGCTACAAGATCCAAGGATTTACCGATGCAGCCCTTCAGCCTCATGCATACGTAACATGAAAAGAGAAGGAAAAGAGATAATAATGAACACAAAATAACACAGATATCCCCTCATGACATACGGTTACATTATCTTTTATATCATATGAAGAACCCTAATCCTGATATGTTCAAATTCTGCAAACCAGTACATTCTGACTTTAATTTGTTTTAGAGTTTGGCAGAACAAAAGGTAAGTGGAAGACATGAACAACTACCGCTGAGATAAAAAAAAAACAGCAACAAAATGGCTACTTTTACAAATCTTGTCCTAAGAACATGTGAGTTTATGAACGTCAGTCCATTTCGATTTAATGAAACTTCCAGATAATTGATTTACTATCCATCAAATGATAAACTCATTCAATCCAAGATTACTGAAACCTCTTAATGGTTACATGTGTCAAATGGTAAAAGAGACAGTTAAAGTTCTCATGTCCCTGCATTATATTGCAAATATTCAAATATTACATATGGACTGTATTTAGTTTCTTATTTAGGATTTTTTGCTGATGTTCTTGTTGTCCAGCAGCAGAGTAAACCCAGACAAACAACACTAAGGCATTGAACAATCTCTTATCAGGAAATTTAACATGACTCATTCTCTTACTGTTTTCATATCACATAGTTTGTGAGTAGCAAATAGTCATACTGAGACAATTTTCTCTGTAAGAAACTGTAGGAAAAGCAATACAGATAACCATAATGGTCATACAGTTTATTTAAAGCCCAGCAGCAGTTAATTTTTTATGCCATTAACTAACCTCTGAATTACACCTCATGACCTTTCAGTTTTTCAGTGAATCATACTTCCATATACAAAACATCCATCCACACTGCACCTATTTGTGTATCTGCTCACAGAGGAGACTTGTTTACTGAAAATACATCGTAAAGCTCTCCGTCTTCACACCCCACAGAACCATAATATGTTTTTCAGTGTGGCTTGTGTAACTCAATCAGCATGTTTTGCCATTTCATGTGGTTAAGTGCTTGTTTCTGCGTGACGCTGTTAACGAGAATAATGAAAAGCCCACAGGCCTACTGTTAGTAAAGAAATGCAGAAGGGTGTAAGACCACAAGGAATGGCAGATACCACACCATGCAGTCATCTGTCCCATCCATCTGCTGACATACACTTTGCAAACCTAAATCAATGCAAACACTATCAGTATGCAATGCGGTGTTGTTTTTATCGAAGACGTTGTGACTGTAATTTGAATTAAGGAAGCAGCCTCAGCTTGATTCATGTTTGTATCATTTCTATCCTTACCAGCATTATGTTCCCACCCCTACCAATAATATCTTTGGAAAAGAGACTTAAAGTAAATGTATTCAATTATTGCTGCTGCCAGACTATTTTGGATGTTTTGTAAATTTTGGCTGTAAAATTGTCATCACTTACTTGCAGAGAACCAAATATTGGCTCTCTCTCTGTGCTCTGTTCTTCTTAATGAGTTCTCTAATAATAAACAAAACTAAGCCTGGTGACTGTTGACGGCTTGACATGTTGTTATTCTGAGGTAATATTTAGTTTGGCTGCGGCATTAATTCCTGTCTGTGCGGAAGTGTTTTTTGGAAGATGGAGGAGAGGGCTTGAGAGAGATGAGAGAGGGAGAAAGCTGCTTTGTGGATTTAACAGTGCACCACAGCACACACACCGTCTGGTTTATTTTTTTTTTCTCGAATTATGCTAAGCTGCATTTGCTGTGGGCTTGCCACAGGGTCCATTTATGAGCCCAATGTGGCAGCTCATATTCGCTCTGGTCCCATGGTTGAGAATCCCCTGAACCCACACACACACACACACAAAAAAGCCATGTACGCACACACACTTTTCTCATGTTGTCGGATGTAAGAGTAGTAAGGGGGGGGGTCGCAGGCTCAGACAGACCTCTAATTCCAGCAGATCCTCTGATTAAAGACAAAATCTTTGAAAGCACAGACAGCCCTTTACACATGGTGACCCGCTCTCCACTATAAGAGGAACGCGTCTCCTGCTTGTGAGAATAATGTGCCTTAATACACTTCTGCCTTGTAAACATTTTATAGCTTTTTTTTTGCCCCATGGCGCATATCAAAAGTGCATTTCTGGCCATTTGATCATCTGCGAAAAGAAAGTATATCCAACAGTAATTCTAAAGAGAAGAAACTGTATGTCCTTTCTCGACGATAGTTGGAAGTTAAGAGCAATGAAACTCTCGCAAATATATGAAGCCACAGCAAGCAGCCGCGTTAGCTTAGCTTAGCAAAAAAAGAGGGAAGAAAGCTAGCTTGGCTTTCTCTGAATTAAACAGAAATCCTCCCACACCACAAAAGTCTTAAACATTAACACGGTTCTGATTTAATGTGTACCGTCTGTTCAAACGTTCTTGCATGGGGGTTTTAGGTGCTCGTCTGTTTTCCTTGTGATCAGTGACAGAAACTGATGTGACAAACTTTTTATTTGATTTCGATAGAGTAATGCTACTGTTTTCCAGCCTCTGTTCTTGGCGTAGCTAACAGGCTACTGGACAGCTATGATTTATTTACCCATCTAAATCTTGAAAGTTGATGAGATCATTTCCAAAAATCTCAAACTATTGCTTAAGACAGGCGCTGATACATCTTGTTTTTTTTTTTGCATGCAGACTGAGTCGATGCTTTTTTAAGGCACCCTGTGAATATGCAGAACAAGCTGTGATCACAGTTAAAAGAATGGGCTTGAATGCCCCCCCCCCCCCCCACACACACACACACACACACATTATTGCTTGTTTGTGGTCAAGGGTTATAAGGTCGTGGCCGAAAATAGGGCTCTGTGTTTGCGGGGCGGGGTCAGGACCACTTAAGCCTCCCTTCTGTGAGGGTCAACCGGGGTGAACATATGAGGGTCAAAATCAGTTAAGAGGTCAATCCTGCGAGTGTTGTCAACATAGAAAGATGCTGTGTCGGAGGGTCAATCCTAAGCTTTATCGATCTCACACACATGTAGAAACACAGGTTAATACAAATGTACTGCATGCACACACATGTGGACACAAATCAAGATAGACAATAGTCTGTGTTTGTCCCGAGTCTATGAAAGGGGTGGGCAGACTCCATCGTCCTGCTGTCTCTCCGCTCACCATGTTCCCTTTGCTGGATGAAAGAGGTCCAGTCTTGGGCTGCTGGACAGAGACAGAGAGGGGTTTCTTTGTGTTATGTAATCACACCATTGTGTTAGCCCTCTACCCCATACTTGAATTAGGAAAAGATCAACCTGTTCTTATTTTGCAGGCTGCTTAGATTCCAGAGACTTAGTCCATATCTTCAGCCTGCAGGAATGAAAGGATGATGTACAGTACGTACCAGATAGAATAAGTGTCTCTTAAAATTGTATTAAGCCCTGTTCTAAATGCATATAGTTGACTGGAAAAGCAGACCAGTCCCTTTGGCCAACAGCAAAGTTTTTGTTTTTCTAGTGTCCCAATGCATCATTTTACAGAAGTTCATATCCGCAGCTCGCGCCTTAAATATTCTCAAACGTTTTAGTCACAAACCTGTTTTGCCATTTTGACAACTTTCAAAAACAGATGAGATTTTTTACAAAGTGGTGATTTAGTTATTATTAAGCAAAACTGCAGCTGAAGTTTAGCGTACCTGATTTAAATTTTGCGAGGAAAAAGCTGAGGATGTTTGTTTGCTTATGCTGCTCCTCATTTTTTACACATACTTATTTAGCTAAATATGGCCATTTAGGATGACTCAGCAGCCTCTCTAATAAACATGTATGTGTGATTAATTAAGTCAAACGGCTTTGTGGATCCGGCCTCCACCTAGAATGATCAAGGAGACATTTTAGTCTCTGCATTTAGAACTCGGGAGTGTCTCCAGGACCTTGGAGATGACATCACAAATTGATCACGTTTGCTTATTCATTGATTTATTCATAGAGGTGCACATGGGCTCCATCTTACACGTTTTACATCTGCCTTTAAATCTAGTAATATGTATGCTTGGACAATTTTTGTAATTGTGCTTCAATTTGCAGTTCCTCAAAAAATCTCATTCAGTTGTCAGAGGTGAAATGCTGTGGTGAGGTTAGATAAACAGACCGGGCTTGTTTACCTTGAGAGACAGTATGGACAGTTACAATAATGCTCTTCTGAGTATGCAGTGTCAAAGTCCTCTTGTAAACTGTGACATTTTTTCATTGAATTGTGAAAAGTTTTTGCTCGTCACAGGGACAGTGAGATATCAAACAAGAGTTTTCCATGTGCTGTTGTTCCTCAATGTGTGTGCATATATGTCTGTAGGTTTCTTTGTGAGTGTAATGTATTTGTGTCCATGTGTGCATGCCTTCAGTCCTCCCCGGGCTACCTCTGCTTACAGTGTAAATAAAGAGAGGACCCATAGAGAGAGAGAGAGAGAAGAGAGTGTCCTGTAGACTGGACAGATCTGCTGGATTATGGACAATCTCTGCTCGATCCAGGTCAGACAAATTGCAAACTGAGGGGGGAGAGAAAGTAGCAGCAGCAGCAGCAGCAGCAGGCGGTGACCTTTGGCACAGTAACTGTACAGTGAAATGCTGCATAGCTTTGGAGGAAGTGATAGAGGAATAAAGCTGTGGATTTTCAGCTGCAAGCCAGCTGGGCAGAGTGATGGGACAGTGAGGATAGGAGCTGGAGTGGACAGCTGGGCGTGTGTGTCCCTTGCTTGTTTGTTGTGTACAGTTCCTGGGATGTTAAATCTTAC